ATAAACCTGCTGAATATGCTTTAATGGCAAAATTAACAATTTACCCGAGGAACAGGTCTGAAATTCGAGGAGAGATGGAGTGTGTATTATGTCCACTATGCTAGCAGGAGACAAACTGAGATCAGGAATATCTTAAATATATAGTAATGAAATAGAAGTAGAATTAAAATGTAATATTTTAAGGTTTCAAATGTAAAATGTTTTAAATGTAATATTCTGAATATAAATGGGTTCATGATATGAAAAATGTAATAGACCTTCCTTCGCCCATTGATTTTTTTTATTTGTTAAAGGCTTTAATGGATAAGTGGTGAAAATATGTAATACCGGATATGCAGTAATGATGAAACCAATGATGCAGTCAAAATAGATCAACTATGAAGTTTGAAACTCAGTTATAAAATGTTGAACATAATTGTATTGTAACAGAAGTAAGAACTACTGTACATTATAGGTAATTCAGTTATAAAATGTTGAACATAATTGTATTGTAACAGAAGTAAGAACTGTTGTATATTATAGATAATACCCCCAAAAATACCACTATTCCACCATCGCTATCTATGCATCATCGCACCACTATCACCACTATGTGGTTCCATCGGGGTGCTAGGTGACCCTGGAAGGAGAAGGGATGACAGGCTATTGGAACGTTGCCGTTGGATTAAGAGCTACCCCGTCTTGTGACAAATCGAGCACTGACACTTTGGTGTTTGTATTATATTGTTTTATTCTGTTTTATGCTGTTTTTATCTGTCTTAACTTTGGCACTCGTGCCTCGTTGTTAGCCGCCCTGAGACTTTGGGGAGGGCGGTATATAAATCCAACAAATAAATAAATAATAAATAAATCCCCCCCCCTCTGCCATGGAGGTCTGCTGGGTGACCCTCGGCCAGTCCCACAATCTCAGCCCAACGTACCCCACGGGGTTGCTGTGAGGGTAAAACAGAGGAGAGGAGAATGATGTGAGCCCCTTTGGGACCCCACTGAGGGGAAAGACTGGGTGTGCATAACGTTAAGTCTGCACGCCTGAATGTATGGATGCAACCCCTCCACAGAGGTTGTGGCCACGTGTGGGTATTCAGAGGTCTCTGAGGTAGGACAGGTGTGCCCAGCCAGGAAGGGACAGAAGGCCCAATTCTGGTCACCTGCTGTGCGCGGGAAGAAGAGAGGGGAGGGGTTTATCCAGAGTGGACCACACTCCTTCACCTTCAAAGGATTCTGCATACCGCAAGAGACAGCTGCAGCCCACAACCTCTCGTAGATTCCAAAGATACCATCTCTCCCGTTCTCGCGCACTCTCTCGGCAGGCTGATTTTCTGCTGCCGGCCGCTGTCTTTATGTGATTGAGCGGGCAGCTTGTGAGAGTGATTAAAATATTGAGCCTCATTAATGTGTCTCATTTTGTACACAGCTAATTCTGCCTTCTCATTCCACTGGAAAAACAAACATGGAGGCTGGAGCCTTTATACCCCCTCGCTGACAGGTAGCACCACCCCTCCCGCGAAAAAGCTTTCTGCGTACAGCTGGCGAGCTGTCGTTCTGCCAAGCCTTTCCGAAACGTCTCAGCTCTTACCTGGCCGCCGCGTGCCCTACGTTAATTTGGACCTCTGAAGCAATCACATTCTGTACCCAATCCTATTTGCCAGACAGTTAAATGTCTTCTGAAGGGCATTTTCCCATCTGAAAGCAGTACCAATGCTTTGATAAGGAAACAATATCATACTCTCTCCCGCACCCAAATCAGCTGAATTCCCCGGACGGCATCCAAGTAAAATACAGATCCATGTTTGGAACAGCTGCTTATAAAAATGGGCATGGGGTCTACATATCAGAATGACAGCACCGTTGGGGGAGGCGGGCAGGACACCGGACACCTTTCCAGACAAGGGTGGAGATTAAAACTGGAATAATGAACATTAACAAGGGCCTGTTTTCATTTATATCAAAAACATCTTTACAGAGCCTACTATAACGGAAGAAAGCACTGAGTCATGGACATAACCACATGCAACTACAGACCGAGTATTGAAAGGTTCTGGAACCTTGGGACACTAAACATAAACATTTGGCACTAGAAATGCTTCGGGACCCAAATACACTTAACCCCCCCCCCCAAAAAAAAAACCCCATGCAAGTTGGGGCTCTGATCCCTTGTGGAGAAGGAACGGCTATTAAATCAAAGTCTGTTTGTGCAGATATATTGTAAGAAAATGACCAGGGACAGAACAGCTAGGGCTGTGACCACAGACTGGTTCGCACAAATCCGTGGCATATATCCTTTATGTGAGAATCTCAGATTTACACACATCCCCCTACCATATGTAGAACATCAGACGGCACGCCTCTGTACACAGGCTGTGAGTCTGAGACAGACCCCCTTCATAGGAGCCATGGTGTAGCGAACACACACACTTCTGTACACGTGAAAATGAAACCAACGTATGGAAGTGAGATTTCTGTGGCTCTTTGTTGCCTTTCCTCCTAGCCAGTCAATGATCAGGAGGGGAAAATCCTCCATGTAACTGGCCTCTGCCAACATAGTAGCCTTGGGACCGCCTCTTCCAATATGATTCCCCTTGTCCCCTTCAGTTTTCATCACAGGACCTACTGCAGGTGACTGGTCCATGAACGACTCGGTTGTCATCCACTAGGGCAAGGGCCTTCTCGGTGGCTGCCCCTGACCTCTGGAACCAACTCCCGGAGGATCTATTAAGGTTCCCCAAGGCACGCAAAGCTTCCTTGTCTCGTGCAGCTTTTCATTAACCAAGAGAATGGATGCCCCGGCTGGCTGTCTAGATTTATTCCACAACTGATGAATGGTTGAGTTTTGATTAGAATCCTGGTTTTTATCGCATTCGTTGGTACTTATCGGTTTTCAGGATCTATTTCAAGTTTTGACGCTGTGCTGTGCGGGTTGCGAACCGCCCGAGTTCTCTGTTGAGGAGGGGGTGCGGGTTACAAATCGAATAAATAATTTGCACACCAGTGACCGGGGACTGCCTAAGGAAGCCACCCTCCTACTAGTGAGCAGAAAGGAGTCTCGTTCCCATCACCTCCCCGTGCACACTGCCCGTGTAACACGTGTGAAATGCTCCTTAAAAGGAACACATCGTGTTAGCTAGAAAAGGGGGGGGGGGAAGATCAGCAAACCTATCAAATCTGGCTTTCACCCTTGCCTCCCCATCCCCCAAACACAGAAATTGGGCTGTCTCAAGCTGCCCGATGCAGCTGGTGGCTTCCCTGTCTTCGGCCGGTGCAGCCAAACCCCCAACTATTTCCTTGGGCCTTCGGTATAGGAGGGGGGGGGATGCTGTTATTTGCAGTGGCAAACAAAGGCAATCAGGCCCGCCGAGCACATACTGTAACAGGCAGCCTTTCAGCTCTGCTAGACAGAAAGTAATTAGAATGCTTTTAATGTCCAAAAGAATGATGCTGATAGGCTGCCACAGTTGTGTAGATTTATGAATATTTATACGGTGCTTTATAGCTGACACTTTTATCAGTTGAAGAAGATAAAATATCTGCCTGACTCAAAAGCTTGACAGTCAGGTTAATAAAATCTCATTAAAGAGAATGACCTATGCAATTATATAGGATTTATTGTAATTCATTTTTGATTGTAGTCTGCTTAAAGATGCAATTTCCCATTTCCTAGTGCCAAATTTAGGCAGCGTATCAAGAACTACGTGTGATCTAACACCAAGCCATGGGGGGCGTGGGGGGGGAGAAAGAGAGACAGAGATGCATTTAGCATCTTCGGAGGTTCTATACCTTCAGAGAGAAAGAGGGAAAATATTTTGATCTGGTCTTCATCTCAATTTGCAATCAAAACCTACCCTGAAGATTTTTTTTTTTTAAAAAAAGATGTTTATTTCATATGAAGGAAACCGAATACAGATCTGCACGCAGCGTTAAGGAGGCTTTTTTGGTACCGGTTTCCCAATAATGGGCTGAAAGGCGGCTTGTCAATCTCATGCTCATTCACGTCCCATGCTCCGTTACCCCACTGGCGCTGCTATTTTGGGGAGCGGCAAACAGCAGGTGTTGCTCTCCTGAAAAATCCAGTTGCAGAAGAAAACATAAGAACACGTGTCTTGAACGCAGAACCATTCGGGAAAGAGGCTGACACTGAAGAAAAAGTGCCTTCCGTGAAAGTTCTGAACAAGGCAATGAAGATGCTTGGGGGAAGCATTGAAATTTAGGTCAAAACGAGAGCGGGAGTTTCTCTGCTGGCTAGTATGAAATAAGGGCACTGTCCAAATGGCTGCCGCCGCCGCTATATATACAAATGAAGCTCTCTTACACTGAATCAGACCCTTGGTCCATTGAGGTCAGTACTGTCTACTCAGACCAGCAGTGTTTTCCAGGTTCTCAAGCTGTGGTCTCTCACATCCAGGGCTATTTTTGGGCAGGAACGCACAGGAACGGAGTTCCGGCTGGCTCCCAAGTTGGCCACACCCAGCAGGAACTCATTAGCATAACAGGCCACACCCAACAGCAGAAACTCATTAGGATTGGCTACATTAGGGGTGTGCGGCCTAACATGCAAAGGAGTTCCTGCTACAAAAAAAAGCCCTGGGTTTTTGACAACAAACAAGGTCAACAGAATAAGGAGCAAAAGGTGGGTGTGGCTGGATGACCACACTACTGGTAACATGGGGGTGCGGCCTAATGTGCTAATGAGCTGTGCTGGCAGGGGCGTGGCCTAATATGCTGATGAGTTTCTGGTGTTGGGTGTGGCCTATCATGCTAATGAGTTCCTGCTGGGCTTTTTCTACAAAAAGAGCCCTGCTCACATCATCTACCGCCTCATCCTTTCAAGTGGAGATGCCGGGGACTGAACCTGGGGGACCTTCTGCATGCCAAGCAGATGCTCTGCCGTTGAATCATGGTCCTTCTTGCCTTGTGCCAAGCCTGAGCATTTGTACACCTGTGGCCTGGAACAATCAGCTCCAACCAGACCCGCGAGGTCTCAGGTCCTTCCTAAATGTTCTTACCTGTGGAGATGCTGAGCTTGAACCTGAGGTCTTCAGGCAAAATGTGATGGGAGCCAGTGTGACAGAGCGGCTGGAGGGTGGGTGAGACGAGGGGAGCCTCAAGTTCTAATCCTCCTACCCAGGCATGAAGCTCAATGGGCGACACTGGATTCGTTGCTCACTTTTAGGCTAACCTACATCACAGGGTTGTTGGTGAAGAGAGAACCACCTAGAACTCCTTGTGGGGGGAGGGAGGATGTAATAGACAGTAATAGTATAAGATAATTCGAGAGCCAGTTTGGTGTAGTGGTTAAGTGCGCAGACTCTAATCTGGGAGGACTGGGTTTGATTCCCCCACTCCTCCACTTGCACCTGGCTGGATGACCTTGGGCAAGCCATAGTTCTGATAAGAGCTGTTCTTGAAAAAAGAGCAGTTTCTGTCAGAGCTCTCTCAGCCCCACCTGCCTCACAGGGTGTCTGTTGTGGGAAAGGGAAGGGAAAGGAGATTGTAAACCGCTCTGAGACACCTTTGGGTAGTGAAGGGCGGGGTATAAATCCAATCTCTTCTTCTTCTTCAAGAGCAGTTTCTGTCAAGAGCTCTCTCAGCCCCACCTGCCTCACAGGGTGTCTGTTGTGGGGAGGGGAAGGGAAAGGAGTTTGTGAGCCGCTCTGAGACACCTTTGGGTAGTGAAGGGTGGGGTATAAATCCAATCTCTTCTTCTCTTCTTCTTCTTCAAGAGCAGTTTCAGTCAAGAGCTCTCTCAGCCCCACCTACCTTACAGGATGTCTGTTGTGGGGAGGGGAAGGGAAAGGAGATTGTAAGCCGCTCTGAGACTCCCTTGGGTAGTGAAGGGCGGGGTATAAATCCAATCTCTTCTTCTTTTTCTTCTAGAATGCAAAAGCTACATGTCCCCTGACCTAAGACTAGCATAGTTCTCACAAACTTTGGGCTATAGAAGGAATTCAGGCATTGGAAGTTTGGTCCCGTGTCTTTCCAGCAGCACTCCCTCCCAAATCCATCTGAAGAGAAGCAGCCGCTAAACCAGACATTGCACAAGTCAGGGTACGGGGAGAAGATTCCCAGTCTTAAAAGAAGATCTGGAAGCAGTACAGGAAACCTTAACTATACAGGATCTAGAGGGTGCCATAAACGTCTCACTTAAAGGTGTGGCACGGCGGTTCTCCAGTGGCCCGTTGCCCTTTGGGGAGGGGCGCAGGACACCTGAAGGAAAGACGCAGACTTCCAGGGGGTGGGGTGGACACACCTTTCACCTGTCAGAGGGTTAGTGGTGCAGCCCCCCCCCCAACTGTGGTGCTACCCATGAAAACATGCAGAGTCAGTGGGTGTCTGGGGCCTCGTCCCCCACTGCTTTTCGGCAGCTGGCAGATGCTATGGGGGAGCCTGAGGTGCCCCTTTCTCATCTCGATGCCAGCAACAGAGGAGTGCCCCAATTCACAGGCCACCCCACAAGAGTTCTCCCCTGCAAAAGACAGCTGCTGACGGACTTAGGAGGTAAAAATGTGTATTTAATTTATTTACTTCACTGATACCCCCACTTCCTCCCAACGGGGAGCCCAAAGCAGCCGAAACTGAGTTCTCTCCTTCATTTTATCTTCACCACAACCCCGTGAGGCTGAGAGCAGCCAACTGGCCCAAGGTCACCCAGCGAGCGTCCATGGCAGAGCGGGGATTCGGACCCGAGTCCCCCAGAGTTTAGGGTAACAGTCTAGCTGCTACACCATACCTCACAAATTCTAAACATTTAACGGACTAATCCTCTAAGGGCTTTTCCAAGCTGCCGAGGTGTTGCGGAATTGGGGCCTCAACTGAGTCTCGGTCCCTTGCAAACCCATTTTTTTTACAATTCTATGGCCAAATCTTTGGTTCGTTCCCAGAAAGCTTTGCGGTTGGCCACTCCCAAGCAAGCACTGTCAGAGACACACTCTGTCCTAGAAAGAATGGTTGACATTTCCAGAGACCAGGGTTACAGTCTAAACATCTAGATATGGGGTATGTGTCTCCATGGTTCCTCCTCGACACAGAGAGGTTACCCAGAGTAATCCTGAACCACCAATAATATACAAATGACTCAGCCCTACCCCACCTTCCTGAGTAGATATAAATTACCTGCCTCCCATTTTTCTTCTCACCTCGACACAGAGAGTACTCCATCTTTCTGTGTTATACCTCTGAGGATGCCAGTCACAGCTACTGGCGAAACGTCAGGTCCTGCAATGCCAAGACCACGGCCACACAACCTGGAAAATCTAAAACAGCTAATATACAGATTGTCACTTGAAGAGATGCCAGGATGGTCGGGGCTTCTTGCTCTCATGGAAATTGTTTTTAACTCCAGGCAAAGCTCATGCCTGACTGTGCGGAAGGGGCTGGGCTTTGTCGAGGACATCAGAATCTCAGCACAGACTTGACAGACGGTTACATTAGCTCTTATGGATGGAAAAGGGTATTTATTATTGGGGTCTACTCCTGTCCCTTGTAGTTCTGGCCAGCCACCCTCCACTATGGGTCTTGACAAAGCAACCAAAGATATCCTTTATAGAACTACAGCGCACTGTATTTAAGTACTGGATTAAAAGAATTATGAGGCAATGTTGTATGCAACATTCCAGATTCTTTTATGTCTGGAAGGTTTTACATTTTGGGTCTGAAGTTCAATAAATAAGAGGTTCTTTGAAACAATGGTCTCTCTCTCTTGATGCAGTTGGGACCCCCTACCCATTTCTCTCCCTCCCCAACGAACACCATGGGGATGGGAGTCTGCAAAAAGGTTCCTGCACTCCTAATTTCCCCTACAGGAAGAGTCCTCCCAGAACGAATCCCATCTAATAGAACCTCCCTCAACACTTTGTGCTACAAGAAGTCCACTGATGGATTTGGAAAGTGGTCCCCCCCCCCCCTCTTTTCTTTTGAACTATGGTGCTGGAGAAGACTCTTGAGAGTCCCTTGGACTGCAAGAAGATCAAATCAGTCAATCCTAAAAGAAATCAACCCTGACTGTTCCCTGGAAGGCCAGATAATGAAGCTGAAGCTCAAATACTTTGGCCACCCAATGAGAAGGGAGCACTCCCTGGAGAAGACCCTGATGCTGGGAAAGACTGAAGGCCAAAGAAGACGGGGACGGCAAAGGATGAGATGGTTAGACAGTGTTATTGAGGCAACAAACATGAAATTGAGCAAACTCCGGAGCACGGCGGAAGACCGGAAGGCCTGGTGTGATCTGGTCCATGGGGTCCCGAAGAGTCGGACTCAACTGTGCGAATGAGCAACAACAACAACCCCCCCTCCATCCTAACAGGAATCCCTGAATGACGCTACGGACGACTTTTCCTTCACACAGCCCAGTTGCCTCACTCTGGGCTAGGATCTGGAAGTGAGAAGGCTACACCTAGACCGTGGAAGAGGCCAGTTTTGGCCTTAGGGCTGCCAATGACTGAGCTCTACAACACGGCAGGTTCCCACATCCCATCTCTGAAGCATCCCACACTCTTTGGGGGCACTTCTGCTCCTATCCCTCTCCCCGAATAGCCAGGGAACTGCACTTTGTTCCTATCCCATCGCTTACCTCCAGAAACGAGACGTGTCAGGGTTCAAGCCTGCCTCAAAATCAGTCCTGTAAACGGCTTCCTAGGTGGCGGTGCTCCTTCCAGCGGTTATTCAGTGGCAAGGGACTCTGCGCATGTTCAGAGGCTTGCTCTTTCTTACTACTTTTTTTTTTGTTCAGTTGCACAGTCGAGTCCGACTCTTCACGACCCCATGGACCAGCTCACGTTCTCAATCTGTGCCACAGCACTAAAAATGGGCTCTGGGGCAGAGGAGACGCACTCCCCTCGTACCACATTTAGTACAGTGTTTACAATGTTTCCTGCCAACCTAGCAGTTTGAAAGCAAGAAACTGCAAGTAGATAAATAGGGACCACTTCGGTGGGAAGGTAACAGCGTTCCGGGCGCCTTGGTGTTTAGTCATGCCGGCCACATGACCACGGAAACGTCTTCGGACAGCGCTGGCTCTTCGGCTTGGAAACGGAGATGAGCACCGCAACCCTAGTGTCAGACTCGACTGGCTTTCGAGCAAGGGAACCTTTACCTTTTACAATGTTAGATTTGAATTAGGGAGGCCTATATGAGCTCCTTATTCAGGACTACAAACTCACTGGGCGACCTCTGCCCAGTCGCTTAGCCTAAATTTCCCCACAAGATTGTTCTGAAGACACCACCCCCCCTCGAGACAGCGTCCTCTCTGGCCACGACCCTGAGTTTGGAGGAACACCCACAATATCAGCTCCTCAAGGGTTTTGAGGCCAGAGATGACCAGGTGAACCCTCCTGTCTTTTGACAGAGAGGTTTCAGGTGGGCTGTTCAAACTCACCCTCTCTGGGAACATTTTCCGGCACCCCTGCTGGAGTTACCTCAGGCAAACATGCCAGTCCTGCACAAACATATACTTGTCTCCCTTCCAAACAAGCCCCCCCCCCCCATCTGAAGAACTTCATTCCTGATTTTTTTATTCAGAGATATAGAAACATAGAAACACAGGGCTGGAAGGGACCTCAAGGGTCATCTAGTCCAACCCCTGAACAATGCAAGATTATCCATGTTCTTCAGTCTGGACAGCCAGGCTAAATCATGACCGATCTGTCTACTGCTGTCTCCTTACAAGGCCATTTCGAAGGGACACAGTTCCACGGCAGTTAGTTTCTATACACTTTGGATGCCCCAGCCCAGCCGGGATTCCTCAAGAGCTGATGTCGCCAAGGGTGAGCTAGAAAGTGCTCACTTCAAACCTCCCCTTCACCATGAACCACACACAAGGCTGAAGTCTGTACTGCGGGGAGGGCGGGGTATAAATTGAATAAAATAAATAAATAAATAAATAAATACTGTCTACTCAGACTGGCAGAGAAGCTCCAGGGTCTCGCATAAAGAGGTATTTCACATCACCCACCGCCTGGTCCTTTCAACGGGAGATGCTGGGGATTGAACCGGAGACCTTCTGCCTGCGAGGCAGAGGCTCTTCCACAGAACCACAGCCCCTCCCCCTGTCCTCCAGCCAGCAAATAATGGGGATATCTATGGTGGTCTGGCTTACAAAGGCTATTTTGGAGATTGCAGAGGAGGAGGGCTTTCAAAAGAGGACTTTTGCAAGTGCTCTTCTACAAGTGGCCCTTGTGCCCTCTGCACATGCTCGGGCGTGCGCTGTACATTTTAACACCCAACAGGAGCGGCAAGCCTGCCATGCGACACAAGGGAAAAGCGAAGCGCGGCTTTTTGCCCAAACTCTCTCCTCCTTCTCTGGCACATCATTACCACCACCACCCCACGCCTTCCCCCCCCCCCCCAAAGGGGGGCCCTGCCCCCCCCCCCAGGCTCCCCCCTCCCCCGGGGCTGCCCCCTGGTGGCCGTGGCCGTACCTGACCGAGGAGGACGAGGCGGCCGGCGCCGACTGGTGTCCCAGCTGCGAAGCCGGCGTCCGGGGCGGGTGGCCCTGGGAGGCTCTGCCGCCTGGGAAGGAGCTGTGCGCCTGGTAAGGCAGCTGGTGCTCGCCGAGGGAGGACGACGAGGCGACGGCTGGCGGCGGCGGCTGCTGCTGGTGGAAGTGATGCTGCTGCGGCGGCGGCGGCTGCCCGGCGCCCGCCCTGACCTGCGGGATCTCCACCATGGTGGGTCTCTCGTAGCGCTTGCTGAGCGCCGGTCTCCGGCTGCTGGGGAAGGTCTTGAGGACGCTGTAGGGGCTGCGCTGCTGCTTGTAGATCTTGGCCCCGCTCGGGCCCTCCTCGGCCGCCTGCATCGCCTCCTCCATCAGCATCGCGCCGCTCCGGCCGCCCGGCCGCCTCCCTGCCCGCCTCGCTCCGGCGCTCGCCTCGCCGCCTCTCCGCGCGATGGTGGCACCGCGCGCGGCTCAACCCCGTCGCGCGGCGCTAGGGGAGGCGTGTATGTGTGAGAGCGTGTGTGTGTGATGGTGTGTGTGTGCGCGTGATTGACAGGCGGCCTCGCCAATGCCTGGAGGGAGACGGGAGGCGAAGCGCGAGCGAGGGAGCCCCCCCAGGCCGAGCCGCTAATGGGAACGGCCCGGGGAGGGGAGGCGGGATCGCCGGGAGGAGGGCCGGGTGGGCTGTGCCGGAGGCGCTGCTCAGGGCGAGGCTCCCGGGGCGGGCGCCGGCGGGGCACTCGAGGGGGCAGCATTGCAAAGCGGGGGCCAGCCCGGGCCATCCTCCGCGCGCCTTGAGAGAAAGGCGCCGCTGCTGCGCCGGACAAAGCAGCCCAGGATTCCCGCGGCGCGCGCTCCGCAACCCCCGAAGCGCACGCTGCCCTTGCAATCCGCCCCTCGGCCCCAGGATCTGAGCCAGCACAGCCCGACGGGAGGGGCAGGGGGGATCGCCTCTTCCTCCTCCTCCGGCGGACGCGGAGAGTCTCCCGCGCTGCAGAACTTCGCAGAACAAACTCGCGCCAAGTTTGCACCGGAGCCGCAATCCTGTGCAGACTTCTCTGGGAGGAGGCCCCGTCGGACCCCGCGGCCTTTGCCACCCAAACAGGCCCACTTCGGGGGGGGGGTGCAGGCCCCGCGCAGCAGGCCGCCTCCTGACCGTCCGACCCCGCCTCGCCCCGTGCAAGCGCCTCGCCCCCCATCGGACTGACGAGCGCTGCAAAAAAGCCTCCTGCCGCCGCTGCTCCGACGGGCGAGGTCCGGGCTGTTCCGGGCACCCGTCCGGGCCGATTAGCGCGCAGAGGACATTGCGGGGCGCATTCTGCAAAAGCGGCGAGGCGGCGGCTGGAACTCAGGCGCGTCACATTCCCAGCGAGCCGAGAGATTAATCGCGCCGCTCGACGCCCGTTGGCAAGAAGGCTCGCCGGCGGCGTCTCCCCTCTCCCTCCTTCGGCCTTTCCCAAACTCTTGAATGAGCGGGGCAAAGGAAACAAATAGGAGCAGGCCGGCGAAAGACCGGAGGAGAAGTCGGGAGCCGAGCGGGCAAGGAGATTTTTTTTTTTGGGGGGGGGGGGTACTCAGAGTTAATGGGGGGGGGACCACAGACCAAATGGCTTGCTTTTATTTCATGCCGGACAATCTCGTACTTAGATTTAGTATTTTCTTCCCCCCACCGCCGCTGCCATAATTGATCAGGATTGCAATATATCCGTTGGCTTTTCAAAGTCGATTTGCAGACCGCCTTCTTCTATCCTTAAAGTAGGGTTCCCAGCTCCAGGTGGGGAAATTCCTGGAGACTTGGAGGTTGGAATCCGGGGGAGGTGGAGATCGGGGAGGGGAGGGAGTTCCTCTGGGGGTAATCTTTAGTTGTAAACCCCCCCAGGCAATCTCCAGCTACCACCTGGAGGTTGGGAACCGTACCTTAAAAGGCCAGACCTGGGCTTTCTCCTCATATGGAAGTCCACCACCTACTCCCTGGTGGGCTGTTCTCCTTTTAACCATTAGCCCTGTTCACAAGTTATAGTGAATGTTCATACCCATACATGTACAGTGTACAGTTGATTGTCCTTTGTGTATTGAGTAATCCTCATGTTACTGTCAACACTTGGACAGCTGAATATATGATATAATCCCCACATTTATACAGGGACCAGGGTACTGGTCGCTGGCTTCATGTGTAAAGTGTGCATGTGTTGCCTCTTACAAATAGATGCATGAATGTCCAGGCAGGGCGTATGTATGTTCAACTGTTGCAAAAGAACAGGTAGAACAACGTTTGAGTCCAGTGGCACCTTTAAGACCAACGGAATTTTATTCTAGGTGTGAGCTTTTGTGTGTGTGCTTCTATACTTCTAAGGCAGTAAATTAGCATACAACTTAGTGAAGATGTTTTAACAGGTGCAAACAGGAATAACAGGCTAAGTTTATAAAGTCACCATTGTTTGGATCTAATTCTGGGGGGAAATAGTGAAGCATATAAATATGTCAAAATTGGAGATAGATGTGTAAACTGACTTCTGTTGCCCAGGTGTCAGTTATAAAAGCGGGAGTGCTCCAGGACCTACCTGGAGATTAGCGTTGCCTGCGCGCATTGTCCCTGACGTATTGACTTCATGTGGAAGTGATATCATCACGTCGGGGATGTCTTGCGGTGATGCTCTGGTATTTTTGCCAAAATTCTATGATTACCAGAGAGCCAGTTTGGTGTAGTGGTTAAGTGCACGGACTCTAATCTGGGAGAACCGGGTTTGATTCCCCACTCCTCCACTTGCACCTGGCTGGATGACCTTGGGCAAGCCATAGTTCTGATAAGAGCTGTCCTTGAAAAAGAGCAGTTTTTGTCAAGAGCTCTCTCAGCCCCACCCACCTCACAGGGTGTCTGTTGTGGGGAGGGGAAGGGAAAGGAGTTTGTAAGCCGCTCTGAGACACCTTTGGGTAGTGAATGGTGGGGTATAAATCCAATCTCGTCTCTTTCTTCTTCTACCATAGAGTTTCCCCCAAAATACCAGAGTGTCACCATGCTACATCCCCGGCATGATGACATCACTTCCACGTGATGTCATTACATGGGGGGCATTGTTGTTGGGGGTGGGGCTTCCCATGGTGGGAAGGAGCCTGTGAAATCGGGATCCCCTGCTCCCAAATGGGGGCCGGCGACCCTTCATAGAGCCCACACTCCAAAGCAGTGGGAACTGATCTTGGTCGTCTAGAGGTCAGCTGCAGTAATAGGAGATCTCCAGATGCCACCTGGAAGCTGCCAACCCTGCCAGCTCATCAAGGCAAAAAAAACCTCTGGCCTCTGAGAGCAGTTCAGTATACAAAAATGAGCAGGCAAGCTCTAAACCGTATGCAGAGGAACATCATCCCCAGTCTGACAGGGGAAAGTTACTGGAAAGTTGACACTCTGTTTGCTTCCAAGTCTGTGGAGTAAGTCCCCCCCCCATCCACCCACCCACCCAAATCAATGGGTGCGGTCAGGCAGCATGCTGGGAGCGGGTTAAACTGCTTGGGACCCATGCGGGGTTTTTTTAACCTGGAGAATCGCGATCACCACCTTGTTCCAGGTTGCTGCACCGCCACATTGCTCCCCGCCGTCCACACGCTTCGGTGTTGTTGTTTTCCCCCCCTCTCAGTTTGGGAATGTGCACAGGCAGCCATCTGTAGAACTAAAATTTTCACACGTGCGCAGAACAGCGATTTCCTCTTCAGCCCGACTGCTGTAACACTTCCCTTTAAACTTTAAAGGAACACGTCCCTTTAAACGATTACCCCAAAAATGGCCTCTGTGAGATCCTGAACTCGTCTAAAGGCAAAAACTAGGCACCGTTTAAACATTGTTTTTCATAACGTGGTGGCGGACGTCCGCCTATGTGCACACCGCCAACGCTTTTTTAAAAATGGCGGGTGAAAAGCGGAAGCCTCGGGCAGCTTTCGAGCAGGGAGGGAGTTTAAACCGGAAGTGGCTCGACACCGGAGGAGTGATCACACGGGGAAAATGTGGCTGGAACCGAAGAATCAGGAAAACACCACTTGGGGACCTGGTATCAAAATACTCCGGGTTAAAGCAGTTTTGAACTGGAAAGCGACGGCTGGGGACAGGAGGCAGATGTTGACCGTGTGATCACACAGATAAAATCCATTTATGAGGTAGGCTGAAAGCGGACTAAACGGCCGGTCTGACCGCACCCAATGTGACTTTAACTAGTGCCTGATGCTTGCCGGATCAGACCTTTTGATTTTACTCAAACTCTTCAGTCACGATTGTTCCTCCAATTGGTGAACATCATACCCTGGCCAGGCACTTTGCACTAAGTATGCGTTCGGGCACTAAAACCAGAACTGCAGCTGTAGCATTTACGGATCCAGAGTATCACCTTCAGGCATTTTAATTGGCTGAGCTTTCGAGTTGGTTCTTTTTAATTATCACCCCCTTCCCTTTAAACCCAGCAGAATAACACAGTTCAGAAAACCAGAACCAAAGCTGTTGATTGCCAATCTTTGAAACAAATTACCTTGGGCATGTGAAACAATGGAGCATCCATGTTCAGGGGTAATATATCTCATCATGCTGGGTGCAGGGGGGGGGGGAACAACAATCCTGAAAACTTCCCAAAGGCTCCTGTCTGGTGACTGGCCCACTGCTGGACATACAATGCAGCCTGGCCATGGCAGACAAAGCAGTTGTTTATGTGGAAGGCAATACCTTGGAAGGCAGGATACTTGCAGCAAAAAGAGGAGCTATTTCGTATCAAAGGATCTGCAGTAAGTGCAAATCAGAAGCAAGGTTCTTATTTATTTGCCTTTCTGCAGAAGTGCTCCAATAGCACCCTCCTTGCTGTGGAACTGTAGAACTTCTCTGTGCTCTTCCAAACCGGGTCGTGACTTCCATCGGCTCTGCTATGAAAACTTAAACAGAGGAATAAATGTTGCTTGGCTTTCAGGTGCTGCTGGATTCCTGTTTCATTTTGCTCCCCTGAGAGCCAGTGTGGTGGGCCTCAGACAAAACCCAGATTTAAATCCCTACCCGACCCTACCAAAGAGCTCACGGGGTGACCTTGGGGCAGTCATTCTCTCTCTCGGCCTAATTTAATTCACAGGGCTGTTGTGAAGATCAAATGAAGGAAGGGAGGAGGAGGAGGAGGAAATTGGATTTATGCCCCCCCCTTCACTACCAGAAGGCGTCTCAGAGCGGCTTACAATCTCCTTTCCCTTCCCCTCCCCACAAGAGACACCCTGTGAGCAGTGTTCCCTCTAAGCTGAGTTAGTGCGAGCTAGCTCAGTTTTTTAGCCTCCAGCTCAGGAAGGATGGGGCTCCAGAGCAAACTAATTGATGCAGTAGCCAAATCGCTCGCTCACAACTTTAATGCCAGTAGCTC